GGCCCCGGGGAAGACCCAGGACACGCTGGAGGGACTATGTCTCTCGGCTGGCCTGGGAACGCCTCGGGATTCCCCCAGAGGAGCTGGATGAAGTGGCCAAGAAGAGGGAAGTCTGGGTTTCCCTGCTGAGACTGCTGCCCCCACAACCCGACTTCGGATTCAGCAGGAGATAATGAATGGATGGATGGACAAAGCCAGCTTCAGCTGATATACAGCAGGCTACATCTTTCAGTAAATGTTTATTCCCTTCTGGTTTCTCTGCAGGCCGACAAATTGGAATCGCGTATCTGCAGGAGAAGCTGAAGTCTATCAGCATCCCTGATATCTCTGGATCTGAGGATGTTTCTCCCATTGGCAAAGTCGAGTACAGACTCTCAGGGTAGAGATACACATCCTCTTATGCATTGTGCATACCCTACAACAATCTACATGACCATCCATACATCCATCCATTTTCTGTATCTGCTTATCCTTTTCAGGGTCGTGGGTCTGCGTGACCTTTTGAAATAAATATGCTACAGTTTACCATAAAATTATATAAATGTACAGTTTACCTGACTTTTCTACATTTGTTACATTATTTCAGAAACATTTTTGCAACAAAATTTATCATTATTCCTTGGTTTCTTTATATATACATTTAGGGTCTGTGCTGAATGTTACCCATAATTTAATCTCCCAGAATGTGAACTTTCAGCCTGTTGGCAGCACAGTTGCACAGCAGACCAATCGCGTTGCTTTGCCCCCAGTCTGTAGTGATCAGGGTCATGGTTCTGCTCCAGGCGATGCTGCAGGTTCCTGTTTTAGTCACAGTGTGTCCCGGTCTGTTGCTTCCTCCAGTATGAGAATCACAGACTTGGGCCTGCCGCAGTCCTCTCTGGGCCTCGTCCCCGGCACTGGTATCAGCCTGTCCATTGGCAACGCCTTCATCAATCTGCACGGAGACTGGCATGTCAAATATCTCAAATTCATGTGAGTGGCACCGCACTCCTCTTCTTGTGCACAAACTTTTTGCAAGCTGGATGAGAACAATGAGCAATTTCTCACACTGCAGAAAAGACAGTGGCTCCTTTGATTTGGCCGTAAGTGGTCTGACCATCAAGGCCACCATCAGTGTGGGCAGCGACGAAACGGGACGACCCACCGTAAGCAGCAATGGCTGCGTGGCCAGCGTGGGTGATGTCAGTATCACATTTCATGGAGGGGCCAGGTATGGATAACGAACAGTTACATTGAGACAATGCATTTCAATAACTTTCTCAAAGATTACCATAATTTCTCCAGTGACTCATCATGTGTTAGGTGAATACAGCACTTCCATTCTTGACCACAAAGAATTATCTTATGTCTCTTGTCTTAATGGAAGGACCGTCCATGTTGTAATAATGCATTAACATGTTAATTTGAGTTGGCATGGTCATAGGTGATGAACTTTCTTATTTCCATAAATCAAGGCAAATATACAATAAGACTTTATTTTAATTTGTTTGTGTCTTTGTTTTTGGGGAGGGGGACCCTGCCAACACTGGGGGGGACACTCCCCACCCCCTGCTCCCCCCATTTCCGACGCCCTGGGCTGTAAAAGAAAATAATGTATGTTCTTAATAATAATGTCAGTTGTTTCTTTCCCAGTTGGTTGTATAACCTTTTTACAAGCTTCATTGATCAAGCTTTGCGAGATTCTTTACAGAACCAGGTGACTTTCAACAATGCCCTATGATGCCTTAATGTTCAGTGCCAGTCAAAGGTTTGGATACACCAAGCCTCCTTCAAAGTTGAGTGTTGCATCACATGACCCGGCCACCTAACCTAAACACAGTAGAAATGGTTTCAGAGGAGTTTGACCAGACAGTGAAGCAAAAGCAGCCAATGAGAACTCAGCATATATGTGGGACCTCCTTCAGGACAGCTGGGAAAGCATCCCAGGAGACCACCTCATGAACCTGGTGTAGAGGAGACATTAAATTTGACCAAGCAGTAAGGCAACACAAACACAGGAGCTTAACTAAAGAAACAGGGCTTTATTGACCCCCAAAATACAAACAGTAACAAACTCAAGACCTTAACATTACAAAGCAAAGTATTAACTGAAACAAACTGACCTTTCGATAAGGAGACATGAAGGAACATATACAGTATAGTGGTTTGGCCAAACCAATTAACACACAAAGGGGTAAACCAAATAAACACTACATATAATTAAACAGAGCAAAACAAATCTAAACCCCAACTCCCCCCTCTAGCTATGGCAGCACATGGTTCACTCCTGCTCCAGGGGTTGTCCTTTTAAGAGAGCTCCGCCCTCGGCCACACCTATATGCTGAATAGAAAAGACCACCCCCACAACCAAAGTAACTGCAAACCAAACAATGAATTTAGACAATCACTGCACACAACCCTACAATATCAAACTATGTACAGTACACTACACCCAACACAAAAGGCAAAACACATCAAGTAAGACCTATGAATTATTACTATAAATAAGGCAAAAAGCATACAAAGTAAATCATCTAAGGATGTAAGAATGTTTCAGGTCTTACTGTGTGGCTGTAGCCATCACACAGTGCATAATTTTATATTTAATATTTTATAGTTTTTAAAATCTTTATAATTACTCTAAAACAGCACAAATAAAACTTTCTATGGGTACGTGTGTCCAAACTTTTGAATGGTATTGTACAAGGACTTATACTGTAATGGATAAACTACATAGTCATTTTCACAGCGGCGATGATTTTGTCATGGAATCA